ACACAGGAAAAGGAGTAGCAGTCCAAACTCCCGTGTGCAGCGGCGTGCTGTCAGGCCTAGAGTTTGCAGGCCCAGGGAATGGCGAGCTAACCGCATCACGTAGAGGATACGCAGGGCCCTCAGCACACGCAGCACCAAGCCCACTTTGTCCAAGTAGGTGTTGCCTGAGCCCAGCCTCTTCTCTCCTTTGGAAGTGCTGTCCACCACTAGTGTAATGTAGTACGGCAGGATTGCTACCACATCAATCAGGTTCAGGGGCTGTCTGAGGAAGGTCAGCTTGCTGCGATCTTGGATGAAGCGCAGGGTGAACTCCAGGGAGAACCAGGCTACACACACAGTCTCCACAATGAAGATATTATAGCACATCTGGGAACAGGTCCCCTGTTTAGGAAAGAAACAAAATGTGGTCACCAGCATGTAGATGAGGTCGAATCACTAGAGGGAGCCACCTCAGTGTGAAATTCAAACGCTAAACAGTGGTAGGACTCTGCAGCCCTCAGCACGGCAGCCAAGACAATGAAAAAATAAAAATAATTGCTCATTACAGATCAAACCACCAGTTTTGGTTATGGGGGAAAAAGTAATGTCATTAGGCAGTAAATCTTAGGTCAAAGCGTCTAAAACGATACCGCCACACTTCCAGAAGCAGTGTATTTTTCTTCATGATTCAGTGCGTGGTTGAAATATGGTTCAAAGCATTTAAAAGCACATACTGCAATAGCCGCTGAATGCAGTCCATATCAGGGAATAATATCATTATTATGAAACATACTCCCACAGAGGAGGAAGTGGCCTGACCACCTGAAAACTCCAGATAACCTGAAACACTTGTGTACTTTTAATGCAAGGCTTTGTCGTCTTGTTGAGGAGCTGTTAGAATGAGATCATTGGCACTTTATTTTAAAAACAAATGAATTCAGACTCTCAAGTGAGAATACAGTGCAAGGGTGTCAGATGAATATATCAGTGACTAAATCAGACAACAAGCAGCTTTTCATTTCCTTTTTCAATTTTGTTTTTCTTTTTTTCCCCTCCCCCGTTTTCTTAGGCAGTTATTGGTTTAACAGTGTGACAGAGGTGATGTTTAACTCATCTGCAGCTAATGCAGGGGTGGCCAACTCCAGGCCTCGAGGGCCGGTGTCCTGCAGGTTTTAGATCTCACCCTGGCTCAACACACCTCAATCACTTGATTAGTTCATTACCAGGCCTCTGGAGAACTTCAGGACATGTTGAGGAGGTAATTTAACCATTTGAATCAGCTGTGCTGGATCAAGGACACATCTAAAACCTGCAGGACACCGGTCCTCGAGGCCTGGAGTTCCCTCACTCCTGAGCTAATGTCTCACTGTACAGGAGCGAACGTTTTGCACTCCACCCATTTCCCACAATTACTGTATCTGCACTTGATTATCTGAACAACTTAAAACAGAAAGAAAGAAAAAAACAACACAAACTTTTTCCCCCACAGTGGAAATCAAAGAGTTTGCAGTCAATCTGCACTTCTATCAAAAGCCTGCTTTTTTAATTTTCACAAAAGCTTTCACGACAAATCAATTAATTAATTCACAACCTGTTTGCACTTTACTCTGCGAGAAGATTACGTGTGTGGCTCAGATATTCAATTTTCCTTTGATTTGACTAAAAAGGCTGGGGTGCTAATTATGTTTGTGATTGAAGTCAGACATAATAATGGAAGCATTTCATGAAAGCAGCCTGAGACGTCTTCAAACATTTATTCTAATCTGGGGAAAAAATTGTGGCTCTCTCAGCAGCCTTCCTTCTCTTACTGGAATGAGGTTTTAAAATGACGTGACATTATTAGCATTTTCTTTAATGGCTGAGGGGTTTTTGTAAAGCACATAACCTCTTTTTTTCCCTTTGGATACATCAGTTTAAAAAGAATGGATAGAAAAAACGACATAAACCTGCTGGGTTCACATATTCATTGTCAGTATGGTGGCATCTCTTTATGTATTGTGGCTGTGCAAAGCAGTTTTAATGACAAATACATTAAAATGAATTAAAAATATATAAATAGAAATGAAATTAAAACAGAGTACAAGTTTTGGTGAACTGTTTTAACTATATTGGTTTCAAAATGAATTCTTATATTTGAAATGTTTGTCAAATTTAGAATGAAATGACTCGATTTGCAAAGTTTGTGATATTCTCATTTTTTCCTTATTAATACAAATACTTCAAAAATGAACTATATTTAGGCACAAGTTACTTTTCTGCTTCTTCTGTCTTCATTTAGATAATTGGTTAATTATTAATTTAACCATAGCTAAGCAGTTCTTTAATTTTAGACACTGGAAATTGAGTCTTCTGGGCAGCTATTTTGAAAAAATTGGATATCATAACAATATTAACCACATTTATCAGCTGTAAGAGCCTCAGAAGCTTTGGGACAAAACCTGTTGTTGTCCCAACTGTACCTCACAGAAACCATACGTTTTGTTTTGCTTTTGTAGCCTTACAACCTCTTCTTTTTTATATCATTTTTAATCTTCATGTGCTGTGTCAAACACCACGTTTCTACTTACCAACTCCTCCTCCTCCCTCATGGCCGGCATGGTGCTGATGGATAAGTTGATGGCAGTGATGGTGACAAACAGCACGGACAAACAGGCAAAGATCTTCCCTGGGAGGCCAGAGTGAGGCCTCTCCACCATGTCCCTCAGCTTAGCCATGCACCGACTGAGTCTAGATTCAGCCGCGCGTCCCCTGTGGCCACTGTCTGAATCCAGCAGATCCTCCAGGAGTTCTTCTTCCTCCTCTGCTCTCTCCATGGCTTCAAACTCCTCCATGCGCTGCAGCAGACGCCTGCGACAGCACCACTCCAGGCTCTCCTCTGGAACCCCCCAGTACAGCAGCTCCTCTCTGAAGGAGAGGGCGCACATCTCCCTGAGGGACCGCAGTTTGCCCGCCCGCAGAAAGGTCAGGATGTTACGGAAGGCACAGGGGCTGCGGTCAAAGAAGAACTCGTTGTGTGTGACATCATAGTCATCACAGATGCGCATAATCTCATCGAAGCTGCTGCAGAGGTGCAGCTGGCCCAGACGTGACAAGGGGAAGTCCTCTAAGGTGGTCCAAGGCAGCTGGTAGCGCAGGCCACCCACGTTGATAATGGCATGGAGTTTACGGGCACTGGACAGGAGTGTGTTATCGTGGATGGTGCTGAGCTCAGGGGCAGGCTGCGCCCTTTTATAGAAGGCTCCCTTGTGAGCCTCCTTCTCTTGTGGGAGGGGAGGGTTGAGGGAGTTATCAGAGGCACAGCTCAGGGCACTGTAGTCATAGTCAGAGCCGTCACCCGCCAGCAGGGTCATCTTTACCGGTCCGCTCACATCCCTGTGCTCAACCTCCCATCAACACACTGTCACCTTCACAGAAACAATAGAGAGTCTGAAGTTAGTGCACCAGTGCAGGTTTGACACAATCGGCCAAACTAATTAAAAAGCAAAGTTTAAAAATCTCTTTAGCAACAGAGTCCTGACCAAGGTACAGTCAGCAGTATTACACAGACTAGTAATACACGCAGAGAAAGAAAAGTCCATTATTATTTGATAAAGACTAAAATGCAAACAACAGACAAAGTTATGAGGTTCAATTATAAGGAAGCTTGAGACAAAAAAGTCATGGTGTCCAGGTCAGTTAAAATCATCATATCACTGTTAGAAGTACTTCAATTCACCTGCCAACATACTGAGCAGTACACTCTTACTAAATGAATACCATCACAATGCACTTTACTGCAGCAGGAGGCACTCGGACTGTTTGCATTATGATTCAAATGGATACGTGAAATTATAAGAAAAGCAGAGTGATATGTAAACAATCTCTGCCTGCAGAACAGCCCACTCACTGTAGAAATGAAAGCAAGAAAGCTGCGTGAAACATTACCACCAACACACTTTTCAGCTATTGTAAAGCTACAGCGGGGAAACTCCACCGAGCATAATATTAATATGTGTAAACATATTAGTGAAATCCTAGAAGACTGTTTTCATTAACATTACTTCCATTAAATATGTCACACTGACTTGTAATAAAACCTTAATATTCTTCTTTTTAAACGTGTGATGATTAAATAGATTAAAATATGCGCGTTTCCGCACTTGGATGGTGTTTCCTGCTTGTTCGAGCCTCAGGCTGAAGTTTGAGCTGCACTGAAGTCATGAAGCAGTAGCTTTTATTAACTATGGGCCGCAGAGCACTGTGCCTCAGGGTTTACAGGAATCTGCAGCTGTAGGCATTTGTAAATAAAGTCTTTCTGGGTTTTATAAGGCCTTAATTTAAAAATGTCTTTCAACATTTATTTTGTCATAGTGCACTCTAGTTTAGTATCTAGTCCCTTTTAGAACAGCGCCATTGGAAAAAGTTTAGATTTTATTAGCGTTTTCCTACTTTCCTTATTACTACTTTAATGTTACAGCAAATATTTTTCTTTTCTTTTTTTACTAATTTACCTATTTTAACTTGATATTATTGCTTCTGTTTGCTTCCTTATCTAATGTACTAAACATGAACCTCAAGGAATATTGTTACAACAACAATAAGTAAAGAAAGTATGATGATGATGACAATGATAATATTTATTGCTGTTGCTCTGCCTTGAGGTAAATGTTTAGTATAGTCAATTGCATAACTTTACAAGAGAATGAACTGAGGTGACATTTACATATTGCTGTAGGTTAATTTGCATACTGTTTATTTCCACTCATTCAAACATAACAATAGTATTCTGGTCGTTGAACGATATTTGCAGATATCTCCTTCCAGTGTCTGGCTCGATCACACACACTGGTCTCGGTGAATCCGCCCTGCTATAAAGCCGCAAGATGCAAACTCCCAACGCTGGAGAGGTAAGCTGTATTAGCCAATGAATGGCCACTAGGGGGCAAAGATATCTGGTGGACATAAACAGAAATTCAACCCTGCTTTGCTACATGAGATTGTATTTACTGTATTATACGTTTTAAAATAGAATTTGTCCTCAGTTTAATGGCAAAACTGATACCACTCTGAGGTTTCTGTGTTAATTATGGAGTGACAGAGAGGCACTGTTCAACTTTACTTAATATGAGGAGACAAAGAAGGGGAAACAATGCTTTGGCGACAACAGTTTAACTTGTCATATGTTTTGAGTGGAATAAACTAAGCTTTGGGGGACAATATGTGGATTTATGTAACTTTGGAATGAGCCTGACTAACTGTGTCCCCATTTCAAGACTTGATTCCATGTATTTACCCCAAAGTCGTACTGTTACTTCAATTTGAAAAGGAGGGCAAATAACAATGAGGCATTAGTTTCTTTTGACTGAGGTAACAGATCATGATTAAATGTTAAACTCTTAACAGTATACATTTATGTGGGCAACTATTTAACTCCTCACATTTTTGTATAAAGATTTGTCACCCAGTGATGCTGTACTGACTCAGTAATTCACTGATGTAACTGTTATCCTACAGATACTGAAGAGGCTGTTTTCAAACACACTTAATAATCCGTCTGTGCTATTTCTGGCCCTCTCACATTTAGAGCGGGAGGCTTTAAAACGCAGTTAGGTGTCGGTTGAGGTGTGTGTGTACTAACGTGCAATCACACAGTTATGCAGGCTGTTCCGAGTGCCAGCTTATGCACATTTACCAAAGACTCTTCGGCAGAACAAGAGACGAGCACGAGAAGAGGAGCAGCACTATATTGCAATAAGAAAGAGAAGGAACTGGAAAATGTTTACCACTTTATCACCACTTTATCACCAGTGCAGTGACGGCCTTGTGGCCTCTGTCCAAACTAATTTAATCAATTACAGTGATTTAGGGGGAGGCAGGTTAGCCAGTTAGAAATTAAAATGTCAGTGCCTGGATTGCTGCTTGGCCAAATTCTGAGTAAGGATTCTAAAATGGGGATGTGAATGTGTCAACTGAATGGTTATTAGGCACCTGCATTGTCAGCCTGTGTGAGCCACTGATTACAGTCAGCACCATCTTTCACCCCTGAAATCAGAGCAAACCCGCCCGAAGCTTTTCCCTCCAGTGCTCTGCCTTGTTGCATTAACTTCCTGATAATATAGATTTTTGGCTTTATTGGACTCGTCACATGTGGAATGCCCCTGAGGTCAGATCATAACAAAACCCCAGTGCAGTCAGGGAAATCATGCAGGCCATCAGCAGATTCACATTCAATCGCTTCCCACTTTTCTTAAATATAAACGCTGCCTGCAAAATAAACAGTAGTACCATTAAACAAAAGCCAAACACAAGAATGAAAATAAATTTTCAAAAAAGGCAAAATCCCTCCTTTTTGATTCTTCTCACACTCTCCCTCCATGCGGTGGAGGTTATCAATACGCCTACAATGCATCGCCGGTGTGGATGTGCACAAGCCCACGCCACTCTCCTACTAGATTAAATCACACTTAACCCCTTGAGGCTGTTTGATTTCTCACTTTGCCTTTAAACCGATTGTGCTTTTCCATCTCCGCAGTCACAGGAGCATTTTTTTAAACTCTTGTTTTGTTTTGTTTTCCTTTCCGTGCAATGTTGCGCCTCTGATGTTTCCTCTGGGGGATAAAGTCTAGAAGGAGAAGGAGAGATGAAACGCTGCAAAGACAGCGAAGGCTGTTCTCCCCACCAGATCGGCTGAGGTCTGGCCTCTTTCTGTGCCAGCGTTATCACAGCTAAGCCACAGGGCATGTTCTCCAGATTGCCTGGTGAGTCACTGGGTTGTGAGTCTCAGTTGCCTGACAGTATTGTGCATGCATTTCCCATGGTTCCCTCCTCAAGAGTCTTTGGAGACTTTTAATACCACCAATATTGACTGAGATCATTTTAAAGAGCCCACTAGTGATCATGACCACAAGATCAAAGAGCAATTTAAAAAAATTATAAGCTTTTAAAAATAAGGAAATGTGTTGTAACTGTTGAGATCTGTCTGTTATTTTCTTTTTACCTGCCTGCAGAGGCATGTGTTAAAGAATTTTGTTCAGTATGGGTGGTTCATATTCAAATTTAATAGTAAAAATGAACATCTGAAGAGTGTCTATGTGTTTGTGCCCGCAAAGAGATACAAATAGTTTACTTAGCGATGACTATTTATTGCTGCATATCTCCATATTGCTGGAAGTGCTGTGTAAGACAGATTTTACCAATCTGTCTCTGAATCAAAGATTTGCAATTCAGCTTGACTCATTCTGTGAAATACAGACACATGGTAATTTGATGAGTATCGGATTTTTGTCAGTGTTTCTGATGAAAATCGAAACCTCTAAGCTTTCCAGTGGCAGCTGTTCAAAGTGTAGAGTTCGGTCTTATTTTCTTGCATGTAGCCCCTCAACCATATTTAAAGCAATAACGTGCTGTAAAATAAATGCTCTCTATAGAGATGTTCCAGAAAAGCGCATGTCACCTGACAATGAAGTCATGTCAGTCATGTCCTCTCAGGCTTAATGACCATTTAAACCACACAATGTTCCTTTTGTTCTCCCCAACAACCACTTCTGCTCCTATTCCCTTAACAGCTCACTGTTCTCTAATGGACTATAAGAGGATGGTGTTTCCAGAAATGGACCGCAAGAGCTGCCAAGACCCAACTGTCTCTCTCTCTCTCTCTCTGAAATCTGGTTAAACACTGAAACAGTCAGGCATGCCAGAAGCAATCCTACCCCGAAGACCTTTCCTTACAGTAATTCAAGCAGGAATAGTTGTAAACAAAAGTGTTTCTTTTTTGTTGGATGTGGGTGGTATTAATGCATGCCAAGAACCCTGGAAGAAGCTACAGTATAGCTCCAGGGCAATAAATGTCTCCCCAACTCTGTCTGTGGTCCACCACAGTGCGCTGCTCTCTACTTCTGAGGTACAGAAGTATTCTGTGCAGATAATATGTTTCAGTAATGAGCTATCTCAGCACTAATGGCTACTCTTTTTCATCCTGTTCACTGTTCAATTCAACTGGAGTGAAAAGCAGCAACAGAATGAAATGTATCTGTAAAATAAACCACCTTTCATTTTATAAAAATGTCGTTTTAAAAGCTTAAAAGTCAATTATTGAAATGCAATTCAAGTACTTCTTCATGTCTCGCTTGGAATAAAATGTCGTGTAACAAAGAGCAAATGAGAAGCATCACACCTCTGTCATTTTCTGTCCACAGTTTATTTTCCAATCTGTCCTCTGCCCGTCCTTCCTTTTTAAAGGGCTCTATTCCCCAGACACGATCTGAGCCGGCCCACCGACTCTCTAGGCTTCTACCTCACTGCTCCATATCATGCCTCAGCACTTCCCGTCCTCTGATCCCTGACAAACTGTGACACACAATATTTAGTCAGCACACAAAACACTTCAACATTACACCCATCACTCACATCCGATGTATAACGACAACATGTGTTTTTCTTTTTCATCTCAGGAATTTTCCTGAGTGGATGATTGCACACTCTCACCATTTGCGAGTGCTCATCTAACTTGATTATATAAAGATTGCATAACATTAAGTTCTCTGCATCGTTTGCGTGCATTAACCGATACTCACTTTTCATCTCTTGCTGCCCTTTTCCTGTCGAGCTGCAATCATCCGACCACCTAATCTTTCAGGGCTGTGTAAATAATGTGTTTTTCACAAGCAGCAGATAAAAGACAGCGAGCATGTGTGCAGGCATCACAACCTCACTGCAGAGAAGACCCGACTGTCTGTCACTTTGGACAGAGTGTTTCAAAAGACCTCTGCACTAGGGCGCAGCGCAAGTCCCTGCAGGCTGAAGTGACAGAAGGTGCTCGCACCAGTCGCTTAAAAGCTCAGCAAGGAAAAAAGAAGAACTCAACTCAACTTAAAATAAGCTGATGAGATGGTATAAATGGACTGTAAACTAACAGTTGTCCTTTAAGTGGGAAATTAGACACTTGATGGTCAGTGCTGAGTGTAGAAAATAAAAGCTTTCTTGTCAAAGGACACCACATCTGTGTGTTGGTTAAGTTAGTTGTATTTTTACATTTTACCACAGCTTGAACTGGTTAAAAACCTAAACGGTCAAATCAGAACATGAAAGAGCCAAGGGTTTTAGAAGATGGACTAAATTCACATCCAAGTCTGTGCAGATAAAAGACTTCAGAAGGAAAGACGAGGACTTTTTCTTACTTACACTTTCAAAGCACATCCATCGCCCAATTTGTATTGAGTCCGAGCCCTGGCTGCAGATTTCTTTGGGTACCCACTGGTGCTCAGGGAAACAGCAGATCAGGAGATGTCTCTCAAGCACCTTAAACATAAAAGCACCTGAGAAGCATACTATAATTACTTTATGGATCTTTTTTGTGGAGTAGAATCAGAGAGCCACTATTAGTTATTAGAATAGGAAAAGTCATTAGTTCATCTCATTAGAGTCACAATTACCTGGTGGAGGGAGAGAGGATGATGGATTACATATCATATATCACTGCTCCAAGGTCTCCAAAGAGGGATTTGCATTGCGGACTCTAATCACATTATGGGCCATTATCTAAAATCATCTTCAGAATGAAACCATGTGCTGTGTTTGAACTGATCTCATATGGGTTCACTGACAGAAACATAAGCTGTGATACGCTGTTTGAGGACTTGAAGTTGTTCCCACGTTCAAAAGTTTCCCTTGCATCAATTTTCAGTTTAAAATTAGATTTTGAAAAGTGTTTTTCATTTCAAAGGACACTGCAAAGATAATGTATATATATATCAAATATATGTCCCTCCTCAGAGAGCATGCCAGACAAAATCTGTCTCTGCATCGAACCCTGTCTCAGTAAATGTTTACACATCATACAGTGTCATGCTGCTGCACCCTTGTTACCATGGCGTACATGCAGCACATCGGGCATGCAAGTCTCGGTCATCTGTTCGAGACAGATAATTCCTCGTTCAATGAAAAGTGGACCTCACAGGAAACCATTAATTAGCTCAGTCTGATTACAACTGACACTGCTGATGCACCCTTCAAGTTACTTTAAAAGAAATACTGACAGCACATCAGTGTGACCTACGAAAACACTAACAGGTAGGCACATGGCGCACACAGTTATAATATCAAGCCTGAGGAAGCAGCTATTTACATACATGATTTGGAATTTAAACACTGAACGCACGAATGAGAAAAACTCCCAAAGTGTCACTTACAACTAAGGAGTACTGTTTGTTTTTTTCTATACAACAAGCATTAAGTTTAAAAACATGTAAACAAAAAAATCCATACTCACTGCGCTCTCAAATCAGTTCCTCTGCAGCTGTTAGTTTGCTGAAGAAGCCTGAAGGCGATGAGAAGAATGTACATGAGGGAAAATGTGAAGTGTATTTTCAGGCACTGCTGCTACCTCCTTCAACTCTGGTCCATCTATGCAAAGGCACTGGGCTTGTGGAGTACGAGAACGCTATTTGATAATCATGAGCAACAGGCTGCCTCCCCTCCTCTCGCCCTCCCTCCCTCGTTCCCTCCTTCCCTTTCCTTTTCCCTCGACTCTCGCTTTCTCTCTCGAATCCTTCTTCCTCCCCTTCCTCGAGCGCTGACATCAGAAGTGGGATGTGCCATTATACCAAAACCTTTTGAGAGAAATCCATGGCAACCACCATCTAGAAAGAGCCGTACTTCCCCTTCACCTTTAAAATGAGAATAATCACTGTCTTTTGATTGTAGACTCACACAAAGGTTTATATTTGTCCAGTGGGTTACTTGGCTGAGGGAGGAGGGGAGGGCCGGTTGTAGGCTGGCTCACGCTCACCAGGGTGTCCAATTTTAGACAAGTGGTGGGAAATGTTAACATGAAGTATGATGATGAGGTGGAACGCATGGCTCATACTGAGAATGTTCATTGCAACCGGAGCAAATGTATATATGCAATTTTCCTTTATTTTTTTTTCTTAAATAAATACTTGTTTTGAATTGCCTTTGGATGATAATGCCAAGTTTTAGCAGCATATAACCACCAGAAGTGAAAGCCAAACATCATCAATAAATCTGTAAAAATAATAAACAAAGAGACTGAGGAAATGAAATCCAAAAGAGTAAACAACATAAAATCAATCCATTCTGATTTATTTAGTTCTGCTATATGGTACCTCCACTGAGAATGATCACAAAACCTATTATCCCTTATTTATCTACTTAAATGGAAACTGCAGAAGTAAAGATATATCCACATGTGACAAGTCAATCTCAGCATATTATTCCCCCTTCGGTTCTGTTATGACCCCATAATGGTGAAAAAAAAAATAAATGTGCACATTTTTTTGTATGTAAGAGTCCAATTTTGTTCCTCAGTCAGCGGTGTGTGACTGCAGTGTGTAAAAAGTACTATTATTTTATGGTTGCGCTCAGCATGTTTTATTCAAAAAGACATATTGGAAGGAAAAGCGTCAGGTGTAATTCCTGTGAGCTATTGTGTCTCAGAATAGAGTTGTTAGAGCTGCTGTTAGATGGGTGACTGAAGGCAACTAAAGATTGTGATACAGTCCTGGAATGGAAATAACACACTCACAACATTTCCTAGAAAGAAAAAGAGCCAGAAATCCCTGTGGCCAAAAAAATCATAATATCCTCATAATAACCTCGCCTTCTACAATGCCGATCTCATACTGAGGGGCATAAGAGATATTTCTCCTCTCAAAACAAACAAACAAGGTTAAATGATTATCATCTCTGTGCGCTGTTGCAATCCAGACTGCACGTCAGTTTACACAGAACCAATCCACCGCAGCAAACTAGAGTATTGTGTGTTATGTGGAGATGTTATATTGGTTTCACTGGTAAAAATAAATAATTGAAATGGGTATATATTTGTTTTTTATTAAGTTGCCTAATAATTATGCACAGTAATAGTCACCTGCACACACAGATATCCCCCTAAAATAGCTAAAACTAAAAACAAACTAAAAACTACTTCCAAAAACATTCAGCTTTGATATTAATGAGTTTTTTGGGTTCATTGAGAACATGGTTGTTGTTCAATAATAAAATTATTCCTCAAAAATACAACTTGCCTAATAATTCTGCACTCCCTGTATGAAGAATGTCAGGTTTATTGATTAAGCAAATTCCAAACAAGATGCACGGTCTAAATGTGTTTGCAAAAAAAGGCAGATCATACATGACAGGAGCAAGGGTGTTACCCACACTAAAAAAAGGTCAACTAAAAACACAAAACGGAGAAGGTAGTACAGCTAAAAGGAATCAAAGAAGAAGGAATAAAAAGGAATAATGACACTAGATTTTAAAATAAGCAGACCGCAATGAATGAATGTGATTTAAAATTGACTCTCAGTATAGTGAGGAGACATTTGTTTGACTGAGTGTTTATTCAGTGACATTGTCAACAATGGAGGAAACTAAGCCAGTCATATAAAAATCCATTACAAGTATGTCGAGCAGTGCTAGAAGAACATTTTATAGTTTCACTGGGGGATTTTTAACACCTGCTTTTGTAAATCCAGGAAAGCAGCATTACAGCAATCTTTACTGGTAATAAATGTTTGAACCCCTTTTCAGACTTTAGTCTGCTTTTAGTTATCTAAATCTCGCAGATATCAACATCTATCATTCACTCGTATGTTTTGTGGCTTTACATAGTTTACAAGTTTACAAGTATGCAAGAGTTTACAAAGGAGTGAATCTGGTGCCTTAAGCCTTGAGACCTACCTAAAGAGTCTCTGATTCATCCTCATTTACCTGTATTTTTTCCATCACTAGTCATACACAGCTATTTTATTTTATTTTATAAAACTTAGCGAATGAATTCTATAAAACTGACCCAAGTCAAAGCATAGAGAAAATCATCCAGCGTAGAAAAAGCTGTGTTTCTTCAAAAATGAACATTTATTCTGTTGGATCTATTTGGCACAGATGCTTACGTCATTAACAGACTAACACGGTCACCTTTAGGGCTATGCTGCTAAAAATATGTGTGTGTTGCAGTCTTTGTCTGCAGAGCATTTTTATTTTCCCATTAAAGACAGCCTGTTGTTTTTTATGTCTAAGTCTTAATATATGCAGATATTGGCTTGACACTTGAGTGGGCCAGTTTATGGGTGCTAGGAGAGCTCCAGCTATGCTGCAGCGCTCAAACAAGGGGCCTAAATAGATTCTGAAATCA